CCTCGGAGTTTGCATACACGCGCCGGTTCCACTATGCCGTGGATGACATTAATAACCCCTTGGGGAGGCGCATCTCGGTCATCCGGTCCCCGCGGATCAACCGGAGCTTGATTGGCCTTCACGCCGCCATCAATGTAAAGGTCCAAGTGTCCGGCTACGACTAGCTCTTCCAAGTGTTGCCTCAAAGGCAAACAATCCTCTGTCCGATGGCCTCGCTCCCTGTGAAACGTGCAACGGTACTGTGGATTGAAGCCCTTCTGTCTGTCGCCTAACTTAGCAGGAAACCAGACATACTCCTCGTCACGAATTTCACTAAGTATGCGATAGATTGGAATCTTAAAGACCGTGGTGATGCCTGTCCTTGCTTTCAACCTTCTGTTAGCATCGGCTACATCATCTCAGGGGTAGTCATCCCGGTCATTCCGACGTCCCCTACCGCGGTTTTTGCGATTAGTGCCACGATCCGAGTCCTCAGCGCGGTCGCTGGATCGACCAGCCTCCTGCCCGACCGCGTGCACTTTGCTAGCTGACCGCTTGTCTGTTGCTACCGGAGTTGCCTTCACGGTAGATGCTGACGCATCATCTTCCACTCGGATGTGCTCATTGATGCGCTGCATTAGCTGTCCCATGGATGTCGGCTGGTGCATGGTAAGCGAGTCCCGCAGTCTATGTCCGATCGGGAGACCTCACTTGTATTGTATGATTACAAGGTTGGTCGGGCAATCTAAAATCTCGTTGAAGGTCTCCCAATATATGTAGTTGTATGCCTTCAACGTGTCGCTTGGTTCCATCTTGACACTCAGGAGGTGATCAACTTCCTTTGGTGTTTTGGTGTTGGTCTTGAAGCGCGTCACAAAGGCTTCGGCCAACTGCTGCCACCTTTCAATGCTCCCTTCCGGTAGCCTCTCGAACCATTTCAAACCCAGCTCACCTAAACTCGACGGGAAGATCAAGCACATAAGAGCATCATTCTGCTGATGTCCGGCCATGACCTGTCGGAAATGACTTACATGCATATACGGGTCGGTTTTTCCGTCATAGAGTGTGAACTTTGGCTGGTGGAAGCCCGCCGGAAGCGGTGCGGTCTCAATATCCACGGAGAATGGAGTGGCGCTCAGCCTTGCCAAGTCTGTATCTACAAGGAAAGGCGCGGCTGGGCGGGGTAGAGGCATTCCGACCTCCTCGCTGGCGTGAACCCCATAGGATAGCCGCTGGAATGCCGGCACCCTTTGAGCCTCCCGCCGGCGAGCCCGCTCCTTCAAAACTGCCCGCAAATCTTCTGAATGAGCAGAATAAGAATACCTCGACGTCGTTGCCGGACGTGAGGGTTGGTAGGTACTATCTTGCGCACTAGATTTCTCTTCGTGCGCGTCGGAATCTCCAATCTTGTAACTTCTAGTGATTGAGATGGACGGTGTACGCCGCTGGCTCTAACTGCTTGAGCGGCGGGGTTGGGTGCGCTCACTATGGTCTCCCTCTCCAGCTACACCCTTTCCTTTGACATGCCGCTTCAGCTCCTCTATCTCCGCCGCCATTCGCCGGATGACGGCATCCTGGTCCCTTAACTTGTGTTCCACACGTCTGGCACGTGATTCTCTCCGGCGCCGATGACTGTCTGGACTCCGTGAATGACCATAACTTCTTTCGCGTTTATCCCGCGCATCTCTTGAATGTCCTCCTGGAGAAATCTCCAGGTCTGCCATCGGAGGAATGATGGTGGGATGTCCTTCTCTCCGTCTGCCCGACTCCGGGGTAACTTCGTCGACGGCGAACAGTGGAATCTCCTCGATGTTCGCCATGGATGGCGATCAGATGAACCTGGAAAACAAGGTTTTGTCTGTCGACTTCCCACAGACGGCGCCAATTGTACAGGAAGCAAATATTCAGGCAAGCCCGCACTCCTTGCTTCCGAGCTCCGTTTCTATCCGATCACCTGCACGCACAACGGCGATGAGCTACCCAGCGGTGTGTGGCTGGAAAATCCCTCCGACGATCAAGTTAGCACATACCTGAGGGTAAATAGAGAGAAGGGAGAGTGTTGAGTGTTTAGTGTATGTCTTACCAAATGTTCCTTTTTTCGGCATGGGGGGCACAGACTTGCTTATATACCTTCTGTGCCCCAAATCTACTCCCAGCGATTTGTCAACACGTGGTTCTGCTATCCCATCTGTCAGCACAAATCTTGCTGAACATCACCTAACCCGACTGTCAGCCCACTTTACTGGGAGCTCGGCGACCGAGCTGAATCTTCTCGGCTGTCGACGGCCATGCTGTGTTCCATGCCCAATCGCTTTAAGAACTGAGATCCTTTCCAGCCATGCTCGGCAGCATTCCGGCGGAGTCGACCTTCAGACTGGTCGTACCGGTCAACCAAAGGCCATCCAGCCGGGCTTCTGGCACAAGCTTCTCGACCGGGCTAACGGTGCGAGCCCTTGACCGAGCAACACAAGTTGCGCGGTTATCACCTGCGCAAATCCAAGTGGCTCGGTCCATCTCTGAGCAGCCCCAACTTCGGGCAAATCTAAAGTTATCGTGGCCCAACGCACTATTGGGCCTTCAATTTGCTCGGCCTATAACTCGGCCCATAACCGGCTCATAATTCTCCCTCTTAGATATAATTAAAAAATTCATTAATCATAACTAAAATAATTATTAAGATTTAATTTTAAGTTTTTATTTTAACAAAAATATTAGATGTCTCAAAAATTCTATCAAATATTTGATCAAATGTCTTATATAGGTATGAGTCCCTCACTCATGTAAAATCCTGTGAGACCCACACTCATGTATTTATATTGTGTTTGATTGGGGGATTTGAGAAGGTATTTAAAAAGGAAAATAGAAAAGGTAGGTAAAATGTAATAAAACATATCTATATTTCACCTAATTTCACACACTTTTTCTCTTTCTCTTTCTAAATTACTCTCCAAATCTCCCAACCAAACACAGTATTAATAAAATATTTTGTAGAATTTTTTAATCCTCAGCACAACTCTTATTTTAATAAATACTATTATTTATTCCTAGGAGACTGGTTTATAGGAGAATCCCAGTTTACAGGAGTGGGTGTGTATAACCAATTCATGTTATAGATACTAAAAAAATTTACCAAAAATTTTACCAAAGGTTGTAGGATTCACACAACGTGATTCCCATGTAAAGTCATATATTTATGTGAGATATTTGATAAAAATTTTAAAATTTTTAACATTTTTGATTCATGTAATCAAAGATTTACTTTTACATAATCTGCTAAGTGACATTGCGGTTGCTGGCAAAAGTAGCTTTGCTGCTATTATTTAAGTTGTATTCGTTCATTCAATTCAATTCAATAAAATTAGCTTGAAACTTTCAGCCATATTGTTATTGTTTTAACACTTTAGCAATTATTCATTGAATTAAAAAAGAAAATAATATAATTAAAAATATATATGATATACTATTTTCAAAGAGATGTATATTAAAATTTCCCTAATTATACGGACAAACATTTAATTAAGATTATAAATATCACTTTATTTACTCAATTATAAATTTCAAAAAATTTACATATTTCTACAATAAAGCATATAAAAGTATATCACTTTATAATTAAAGTTTTTAAGCTTTTGTTTAGGATGTAGGTTGCCTTTTTTATTTTTTTAGCTTTGTGGCTATTTTAGACTGTGATTAAAAAATCTCATTTGAGATGTATTTTTTTATTTTTTTTGATTTTTGCGAGAGAAAAAATAAAATGATTATAATTTTGATGTGACATTTTATCTTATTGACTTTTTAGTATATTTTGGCATCATTTGTCAATTATACATTTTAACCAAAAAGTTACTATAAGTTGTTACATCACTCTCTCTATTTTTTTGCATATCTTTTCGTAAAAAGTCAAAGAGTTACTAAAATAATATATTCTCAAACGTTTGTCTTTTTATGACTAAAATAACAAAAAAAAAATTTCATGCCAAACATAACCTGAAAAATATCCCTTTCAGAGGAATGAAAGTATGTCCTTATATAATTAAAGTTTCTAAAAAATAATTTCAAAACTGAACAATAAAATGATAAACTAGAGAGTGTTCAATATAATTAACTTCTTAATTTTCAAATATGTATTTGTGTTGAATGTTGTATTACAATTTTTTATAAATCATTCTGTGTTCTGTGTTTGAGTTTTGCTATAGGAACAATCCTCTAACATCTTAAAATATTAAAAAAAATAAAAATATTAGAGATCCCACATACATTAAATAGTTTATCAAATTTGCATAGATATGGGATGATCTCATGTGGTGTGAGTTTCACATGGAATATTTAATAATTTTCTAATATTGCTTTTTTAAGAAAAAAATAACAAAAAAATTACATAATTGACCCTTTTTGTTTGAGCGAATTTTCAATTTGATTATTGTGCTTTTAATTTGAACCATTTAAATTTTATATTTTCAATTTTATTGTAATATGATCTATCTATTACTTATCGTTAGCATTTTAAGCAAAACAATTTTGAAATTCTATTTTGATCCTTTTAAATGAGAGACGATATTGTAATAAAATCGAAAATATAAAGTCTGAATTATTCAAATTAAAATTAGAGAAAATTAGTAAAACATTATTTTCTAACTTTGTTTAGTAAGAGAGGTCTAAAATATTTTTTTTATTAGTTAAGATCCTTCGATGAAATTTTTCTATAATAATACCAAAGAAATTTTGAAATTTTATAAATTTCTTTATGTCGAGATCGAAATTTCTTAGTTGAACACAAATTTCAATGAGTTAAATTTTCTCTGTCAAAATATTAAAGGATCTTCCAACTATTATAAAAATATTATATATCATTTATCTTATAAAATCTTAATATCAAAAATCTTTAAAAAAATCCCCCAAAAATTATAGAATTAAAGTAAAACTTCACTTAAATTATTAAATGAATGGTATAATTTACCCCAAAATCAATTAAAAAACCTTTAGTTTCGGGTCGGGTCACAGGCAAACAACAGTGTCTCAGGTCTCCCCTGTTTCTGGTTGGATCTCACAGATACAGAGCTCTCTTCCTCATACACATATGCACGAATATACCTATAACTTCAACTTCACCATGAGAAGTGATGATGATCAATAATGGCTTCAAAACTATCTTCACCACTCATCCCATGGCTCATCTTCCTAACATGCTCACTCATCTTCCTCTACTCCACACTCCTCCCTCTCTACACACCTCCTTCAACAATTCCCTTCTCACCCCCTTGCAATCTCTTCAAAGGCCAATGGATCACAGACCCCAATCACAAACCCATCTATGATGACACCTGCCCTTTCCACAGAAACTCCTGGAACTGCCTCAGGAACCAGAGAGACAACATGGGTCTAATCAATTCCTGGAAATGGGTCCCTGAAAAGTGTGAATTGCCACAGATCGATCCATCTGGGTTTCTGGGTTTGATGAGGAATAAGAGAATTGGGTTTGTTGGGGACTCGTTGAATGAGAATTTTTTGGTGTCTTTTCTTTGTGTTCTTAGGGTTGCTGATGTGGGTGCTAAGAAGTGGAAGAGAAAAGGGGCTTGGAGAGGTGCTTATTTTCCCAAATTCAATGTTACTGTGGCTTACCATCGCTCTGTGTTGCTTGCCAAATACGAGTAAGAATTTCGGGATTTATTTTTTAATGTTGTTTTTGATCTTATGTGCGTAGATGAAACTTTGATAAAAGTTTTTGTGAGTTAAGTTGGGTTTCACAATTGTAAATTTGATAGAATAGGAGCTAACAAGCATATTGCTATTTCATTTTTCATAATTGGATGATGTTTGGTTGTGTTTTTGTTTTCTTTGTTTTTCGTTTTTCGTTTTTCATGTTCATATTTCGTGTTTTCAGAAAGAAAAACAATAGAATGTTTGAAAAGGTTTTCATATCATGTTCATTTTTGTGCAAAAACAATTTCCGGAAATTCAAAAACAACGTTGTGGTGTGTCCTAAAAGGTGGGTTGTTTTTAAAAAATTCAAAAAACAGTTTTTGAAAATAGTTTTCATTTCTCCAAACAAGTGAAAACACAACCAAGCAATGATAAGTTTTCGTTCCAAATTGATCTTTTGGGGTTTAAGAGCCACTTTATCTAGGAAACTGGATACTGATGATGTAAATTCTTTTCATATTGTTAGTCATCTTTGATTTGTGGTGATTTTTTTGTTTAGTAGTACTTCAGATTTTGATAAAAAGTCCAAGGAGATCTAATTAGGAAAAATGTTAGTATGATAGTGTTTATAAACCAACAAGTGCTATTTCTTGATGCAGTGATATTGGTTTGGAAAAAATCATCATTTACTTCTCTGTTAAACCACATAGTATTCCTTGTTATTTTTCCTTTTCTTTTTCTTTTTGTTTTTTTCCTGGTAGGTAACCAAGCACCGTATTGGCTCCCTGCTTGCCTCTCATTACCTAAATCAACAGAATGATTTACTGGCAATGTTGCCTGCATGCATAAAACTCTAATCCAACACATAAATACGTATTATTCTATCTACCTGATTTGGAGCACAGTATAAAAATAAGTTTTGAGTACTTATTTTTTTGTTTTTAAATGTGTTTTTCCTAGTTAATTGAGGGTTGAATAACCTCTTTTTCAATACGAGCTTTTATTTTCATCTCATTTTGGAAATTAGCAGCCTAACGTGATTATAACTGATCTAATAAGGTGGCAGCCAAAGAAGTCAGCAGGCTCCAATCAAGATGGATTGAAGGGAATATATCGAGTAGATGTTGATATTCCGGCAGATGATTGGGCTTCCATCACTGGCTTCTATGATGTCCTTGTATTCAATACTGGCCACTGGTAATTTCTCCATGTTCTCTTTTTGCTGATTTATAAAAGCAGAACTAATGATGCCAAAGAACATAAAATTTGAGAAACATCATTAGCTCAATGACATAAATAGGGGCTCATTATATGGAATGCATATGGTGCTTGGGGATTGGGACTAGAAGTTGCTTTCCATTTCGCTCTTGGAAACTATGGGCCCTTTTCTTAGGGTTGGATGTCTTGTACCGGTGTGGTGAATACTATATTTCGACACCTGATAGGCAGATGGAATGTATCCCATTTGCCCACACAAATCATTATATCATTGGTTGTCTTGCTTTTTTCTTCCTCTTAATGCACACCCACATAGGTGGAAAAGTGGAGAGGATGAAAAAAATTATAAGAAAAATAATGGTTTCACCTCGTGTGCTATCTTTTGAATGGCTACACAGTGTGGTTTCTTTTCTAAATTTGATTGTGTACAAAATGTATTGTAAATTAAGAATTTACTTGCTTATTAATTTTCTCTAGGTGGGGTTACGACAAGTTCCCAAAAGAGACGCCTCTTGTTTTCTATAAGGCTGGGAGACCCATAGTTCCACCCCTGCAGATGTTGGATGGATTTAAAGTTGTCCTTGAGAGTATGGTTTCTTACATAGAAAAAGAATTCCCAAGAAAGACACTCAAGTTCTGGCGCTTGCAATCTCCAAGACATTTTTATGGTGGTGATTGGAATCAAAATGGTAGTTGCTTGTTCAATGAGCCCCTTGAGGAACAGCAGGTATGAACTGATAATTGCTTTTCAATTCCACCATTCCAAGTGTCTTTGTTGATAAAATATAGGTCTAGATTGTTGTGAAAAAATAACTAAACCAAACCAAGCCTTAAGTCCCATCAAATGGGGTCGGCATTGTTGTGAAAAAATGAATTCCCAAAACTTTGGAACGGGAAATCATACCACCAGAGCATCTCTCAATGCTTTAGGAGACTCTGGTGCACCTAGGGTTTTAAATATGAGCTGATACATATCATGATTTTGGACTTCTGGTACTGATATAATGGCCAATACTGTCTGATGTCGGCCAATATATGAACGTATAGCTCATATTGTTACCATATCCCGATGCCGTTATTAAAAACCATGGGTGCACCAGTTCCAGGAAAGTAATGCTTGGTTGGTCTTTTATCAGGGTTTTATGTCCCCTTGTTGCCCACCCTGTGAGAGATAGTCTCAATTGCATTTACACTTCAAAATTATCTGGAAGAATCAACAGATGCTTTGGCAATTGTTGAAATCCAAATTTACGGACACGTTTTGAAAATTTCACTCAGATATAAATTTCAGGCAAGACATGAAAGTCGAATAAATCATCTAATTTTTAATGGAGGTGCTATTTCCATGACTTTGATGGCTTGATTGCACCCCTCCACTCTCATGGACCCGAATGTGAGGCTGGATGGAAAACCCTATTCCTTTATAAACTAGATGCAAATTTGAAAGGTTTTTCTTTGGAAGTGTTGGTTTTTTGTGAGAGAATTTAAGTCTGATACCCAGACAGCTTGATTTGTGGTTTGATCCCAGCAACAATGGAGTGAACAAAGAAGCAAGACGACTGAATCATATAATTGAAGAGGCATTACAAGGCACTGATATTCAATTACTTGATCTGACTCATTTGAGTGAGTTTAGAGCAGATGCTCATCCGGCAGTTTGGCTGGGAAAGAAGGATGCAGTGGCAGTCTGGGGTCAGGACTGCATGCACTGGTGCCTACCAGGTGTCCCCGACACATGGGTTGATATCCTGTCACAACTGATCCATTATAGGTTGGAGACAGAGTGATGATGACTTCAAACTGCCTGTTACAGAATTTGATTGGGATTTCCTTTTTGCTAATTTGTGCGGATATGGGAAATGAAATTCTTGAGCAGTATATCCGCCAATGCATGTATTAGAGCAAGATATGAGGAGTTGGTCACACCGTACAAGCACATTGCAACAAGTCAAGTTTCCCTAAAGATTTAAAAACTACTTCTGGTGGGTGGGGGAGTTTTGGTGATGACCCTTTGTTCTTCCAATTTTTCTCCTCTCCCGGGGCCAGAAAAAGCTGGGTGGAAGGTTTAGCTGATACAGAAATGATATGGAAGTTTGGACCGAGTCATTTTTTAGACTATTTCATTGGTATCATTTTTGTTGTTTATATTATTTTGTTTCTTACATCTTTTTTTTTTTCTTTTTTTTCCCTTTTAAACACCTCTATAGCCTACTACTTGTAAATTTTGTTGTTCCCTTACTGGTAAGAATGATCTTATGATTGTGAGAAGATGCCCTTATCATGTCCAAGTAGTCCGGATGTTTTTTTTCAAAAAAATTTATTGCATAAATATCAATGTGTTCGCTCATTTATTGGTATTTGCTCTCTGTGCTTATTTGGTCTGAGGTGTAAAGTTTTGTAATTCGAATCAGTAGTTTTTCTTTCTGGTGGATGTGATGTGAATGTTGAGAAGAAGATGCTTCATATTGTTGCCATTCCCATTTATAGGATATCGGAGATCAACATTGTGGACAGAATGGGTTCAAAGATCTTGATCATGCCGTTCTAAAATAGTAGAAGGATTGTCTTTAATTCAAACAACAGGACAAAAAAAATTCATACAGGAACCAGTCCATCACTAATGGTTGTTAACCTTGAGGGTGGAACACCAATTTTTTTGACTTGATGAAAATGAAGCAAGGTTGTGTTTAAATCTTTAATTTGTGAAATATAAACAACATTTGTTTTTTCCTTCTCTTTTTCTAATCTCCACGAATTCAAGATTTAAACACAATAATAAAATCTGGCTATTTGTGCTGTTAAATATCATCAGAACACCTAATATCAATTACTTCTGGTGATCAAAAACAGAAACAATCTTGTCATAAGCTAGTAAGCCTTTCCCCCCAGGCTTTGACATGCCACCAAACAACACAGATGCGATACAATACTAACACTTTCTTAAGGGCAAGACAGTTTGGCTGTAAATAACTTCTCTCAACTCATGTCTCATAGAACGAAAACCAGAATGCGAGAAAGTGCCTAAGACAAATATCAAGCAAGAACTGCTTTGTGGGGTAGCTTCCCAACTCATTAAGAAACCAAACCAAACTAATAAGAGTCGGTATACATGGATGTGGTTGTCATGGAAAAAACATAGGGTAAGTTAATGATCTAATGAAATGAGTTTGATTATAGTTGGGAAACATAAATTTAGAAAGAATAATCTATTCACATCACCCACAAATAACACTACACCCCAGATTACCATGACCACCACCTGCAAAACCTGCCCAGATAAACCTGCATTCAGAGAGACAAGAGACAGAGATTCAGTGGTGAACATCAGAAATAAAGCTGCTTGCATTGTGCAACCGAGGCTTCAAGAGGACAGTACGGACACTTAAACGTGCGTGTGCTGCTTTTGGACAGTTTCATGATAGATTGCTTGCAGAGAACATGCCCGCATGGTAATAGCATAGGCGGATTCTCTTCGCTGCCTTGTTCCCTACTAACTGGACAGACAAATATTGAATGGAACTGAAATTCCTTACCCAAATCCACTGGCACTGGCAACTGTTTCATAGCCTGCCACTCCTGCTTCTTCGCAGACATTACATTTGCCAGCTTTAGCAGAGTCGGCAATCCTTCAACCCCAGCAGACACTGCCACACTCAACGGGCTCTCATAGGACTGCCCCAAAAAACTACAGAACTGCCGGGCCAGCTCTTCAGCCAATGTTTCCCAATGGGTAGGAGACAACAACTCAGAATAAGGCGATCTGTCAAGCTTTCCTGCCCACAAGAGACAACCCATGAGCTTCTGGATCTCATCCATGTGTAGGCCATGCCATGCCACAGCCAGGTAAGTCCTAGCGTAATTCAGTGCATCGGCTTGGGTACTGTTCTGCAAAATCTCCACAAATTGTAGCCGGCGGAGTTTTAGCTCGAGGTTTGAACCAATATGCTTGAGGCTTTCACGGTTGGTAGAGACCCAGTACAGAGCGGGCTCGAGGTTTCTAACACTCACAGCTTCCAGTATTTGGTGCAACTCCATAAAATGAGATTTGAGGGAAATGACTTCTGGTTCACCAGCCTCATTTATTAAGGTGTCCGCAACGTCGAACAGACCTACTCGGTAAAAATGGCTTGCAATGATATGATTCACTATGTGGGGATCAAAGTCAACATTTCTGTATGCTTTGGATATGTCGGGATTGAAAGTTTTTTCTAGGATTTTTGGGTACTTGCTTAAGTTTATGTTTAGCTCCTTCTGTGATCCCTCTAACTGATTGTGTGGGCCAATTGCATTCAGCTTAGCTTTAAGTTCCATGAGTATGGATTTCTGATCAGCAGGAGAGGTGGGGTCCTGAATGGACTGGATGTTTGTCAATGCCTGGTCAAGTTCATGGCCAACTTGGTCTATGACTTCCTGTGATTTAGAAGTAGACAACTTTTGCTTCTTCGCAACTCGATCAAATGCATCTTTGATGGTATTCAGCTCCATTTACTAGTAGTGAAGTTGACAAGATCCTGCAAGGAAAAACAAAAGTTCCCATTATCTGAAGAGAAGGAAGGTCCTAGTTTCACTCCATTTTTTAAATCTCCATGATGTTAACTAAAAAACCTAGTCCTACAGGAAATTTTTAAAATGTTGCCATCAAGCTTATCTTCACTTGACACGGGCCAGATGATGTTAATTAAAATAATGACTACCAAAAGACCTGATTTCTTGCAACTGCACTCCAGCATCCTGATGCTGCTTCTACTGGACTCAAATATAAATCCATGCTACTCTTCATTCTGGGAATTTACAAGAAGCACGAGCCCATAAATTAACAACAAAACAAAGTCATCCAGAATGTGAATCCAAAGCATCAGCCTCAGAACAGTAATGTCTGTTAAGGGTCTATACAATACTGCTTTTAACTTGTCCCAAGTCTAAACATTCAAATTATGGGCCTCTACTTAACTTAGAAACTATAGAAGTTAATCCTTAATATTGCAATGACCAAATGGTGATAACTGCTTCGAACCTTGTGGCGGCTCATCAATGGTGAATCCGTGTGCATATTATTTGGCAGACTCATTTGGTGGAAAAGGTTAAGCATAACAAAAGCATTAACTGTACATTATCTTACAAGCTCAACCTCTGTAAAGAGATCATGTAACAAAGAATAGTCTCACAGTATTCTAGAACCTTCGACATTTTAGTGATTTTGCTAAGGTGGATGAATTAACCCCATTGTAACATTGAATTGACCCCAGTGACAGTAGAATTCTATTCAGAATCTAAGTAATTACTAGACTGAACTAGCTTGTCCAGTGTGATGCTACATACATCCACAAGATAATAGAACTTCACCAAATGCCATCCCAGAAACTTATCAAGGGTGCATAGCCAACAAAATGAACAATTTGTAGCTAAGAATTAAATTCAGAATGCTTGACAAATACCAGAGACTTGATGAAAGTCATCTCACTCTCCCCCACATGTTGTATTTACTACGGGAAACACGCAAATTTTCAAAGATTCAGTAGCCATGATTTCAAAACCCCTCAAAATTTCTCAGCTTACAAAGCTCATTCAAATTGACCAATGTGGAGGTTCATTCTTGACTCTCCCTGGCAGCATTAAATCTCTCTGCAATCACATTTGAGCAACCGATGCCATGTTTCCCAGGCATTTGCTTTTGGCAACAAAAGCCATCAGCCATTCATAGCCTGTAAAATGGCATGGGATCCTTTGTCCCTAATGCACTTATAGTCACACAATTGTGCCTCAAAAATTCCATGTTTCGAGATTCCCAACACGCGTGGCTGGGAGTTAATAGGGACAGGGAAACAGGGATTTTGAAGGCAGAGGATCCCTGGCCTTATAAATTGTGGTTGCTTTATAACCACCTTAAAAAGTGATAAACCAAAGGCTTCCACTGATTCAGATATCTTCCTGCTTACAGCATCTATAGATTGTATCCTATAATAGTCTACATAGAAGGTTCCATTCTTGCTAACAGCTTTGTACAAATAAGTATGTTCGATAACTGGATAGGAGGGAGGGATTAAGATTTTTATATGGTCTTTGGGTCATGGAGGCATTTTGACCAATGAGGTCCTTCAAAAGAAAAAGAGGCCTAATTGTTATCTTTCTCCTCATTGGTGCATTATGTGTAAGGGAGAGGGGGAGAGTCTGAATTATCTTTTCTTGCACTGCTTAGTGGCAAGAAGTTTATCGCAGCAGTTTTTTGTTTTTTGCTTGGGCAGGTCTTGCTTGGGTGGCCCCTGAATCATGTAGTTCAATACTCTCTATTGGTTTTTTATTCTTAGGCCTAAACAAAAAAGCAACACCCTAAACGAAAAAGCAAAGGTGTTGGGGCTTTGTGCAGTTTTTGCTCTTTTCTAGGTTATATGGTTGGAAAGGAATGCGAGGATCTTCGAGGATAAATTTACTGACGTATCTTCGATGTGGGAGAAAATCAGATTTTTTGCATCTTTTTTTGCTTCAGTTGCTCCCCCATTTAGGGGAATTCCACTTTCTTTTTTTTTCTTTTCTTTTTTTTAATTTCTAGCAATTGGAAGTCCGTATGCAATTTGTAGAATTTTTACTTTCACTTTAGAGGACTTCATGTCCTCCTTTTGTATCTCTTTTTTTCTCCATTTTAATAAAATTTTCTGTTGTTGCCGATAAAAAAAAAAGGGATTAAGATTTTTCTTTAAAAACATGTGGGCTCTACATGTTCCCCCTTCACTCCTTGTCCATTGTTTGGCACAAAATGTCCAATCCCAAGACAAGAGGGTTATCCCTCATAAGGGGATTGAATAAAGGGATGACTAATCCCCCATGGAATTACAACGGTAGAAATTAATCCCCCCCCCATCATACCATTGTTTATGATCCTAATCAAGCATGGTATAACTAATCTTATTGCATATATAATCCTATCTATTATCCCAAGATATTAGTATTACTTATGCAGGTTGTCCTCCTCGTTAATCCTATCCACAATCCAATGGTATCCAATCATCTCTAACTCAATCCCAAAATCAAGTATGGCCTTAGACTGTTTCATACTCAATGTCATCAAATACTGCTTAACTATGGGGCTTATCTTAAGGGTTCCGACATGCTCTATTCAACCCACAAAGTTATCCAATATGGACCAATGACTTCACGAATCAGAAAAAGGAAAGAATTAAAATTACTTCAGTATAATCTGGATAATTATGACTATCATCTAATGCCTCCTAAGAATAAAATGGGAATTACTGTGCACATTTGCTTTTTTTTTTCATAATTGCACTCCCAATTTTGTCATTTAGTGTGTGCATTAGATAAAAATTGTATTCTGTATAGTTTTTTCTACTCAAGACAAATATGAAGTGTGTTTGTAAAAAAATGAGTGTGAACAACACTTTCCAATAAATTTTGGCACCAAAGAGAAAGATGTTGAAACGTTATAAATGTCAAGAGGTTGTTGCAGATTGACATCTAGAATTTGCACAAGTCTTCCACAAACAACCCAAGGCAATGACTACTTGGAATTATTGAAAAACTCAAACTTTAAAAACCATATATATCCTACTCATTGGATTTATCTACTCTCAGTGCAAACATTTTTTGCTTATGACTTTCTGCACATGGAAATAGTGAAGAAATTAAAATCCCAATAAACAGAAGGCGTAAAAAAATGAGGTTAGCTTTCTTAACAGCTGCAATACAGTGTGAGCAGTTTACCTATTGCGCCTACTGTGAACAAACACCATTACTCTTAAAAAGTAAAAAATAAAAAATAAAATGTGCAGCACTTAAACCACTGCAAAATAAATTTTTGCTCAAACAAGCTTCATACACAATTTTCACCTCAAACATACACAGTCACGTACTCACATAAACATATGCACCAAAAACTAAATACAGGAACATAACAGTTAATCAAATTCAATTGTATTTTGAAAGCCCCTGTGTAAAAACATAAAAGATCACAAAAATATGTAATTGCAAACAAATTGCAAGAAATGAAAACAAAGATAGTTCAGAGTTTTCATCATGGTGACCTGACAAGAACTGAAAGCCTCTCTCAACTGAAATTAAAGCGGCAAGGAAATGTACGAATCGGTGTTTTATTTTCTTTTCTCATTTCTCAATTTTCTCAGCACCCAAACAGTGAACATGGAAAAGAAAAAAATAAAAAAAAAAACGAAAAACGTAGTATGAATATAACCTGAAATTGTCAATATCCAATTAACAAAACTGACTATATAATACACAAACAAATTTACCAAAATCTAAAGATCAAGAATAGTAATTAAAAAAAAATAATAATAATAATTTAGGGAAATGGAAATTTAAAGAAACGTGTGAGAAATTAAGTCCAGAGAATAATATAAATTATCAGAAAAACGAGAGTAAATACCTAAATTAGATCGAAATTTCGTAGACTTGAGGGTATGAAGAGAGAGAGAGAGAGAGGCGAGGGAAATCGGTGAGGATAGAGAAAGAGAACTAAAGCACTGCGAGTGCACAAAAGACAGAGAGAGAGAGAGAGAGGCTTGTGAATTGAGAAGCAAGGAATGAGAGAGAGCGCTCTCCTGATGGGAAGGCGAGTCACACGTGTGAAATATTTTACTCGTTTTTAGCATCAGACTATTTAAATTTTATCCTAAAATATTATTAAAAAATTTATTTTCTATTTTAAGGATCACTTTTTCATTCATTTCTCCTAATAAACTCTTTATTCTTTTCTTATTTTATTAAAATAATATTTTTAATTATAAGTGATGGAAAGCAATAGCATTAAAATAATTTTTTTAATTATAAGTGATGGAAAGCAATGACACATGCAAAGCAGGGCGGTCGATTGGACGGACAACTGGGCGACTGACCGGTTAGGCCAATTTCATTTTTTTTTCTTCAGTTTCACAAGAAAATCACGGACGTTCGGGAGAGTGTCCAGAAATACATCCTTTCACACCTTTTATCAGATATAAAGGAGCTACAGTGACTCCCCATAAATAGAGAGTCACTGTAGCAACACTTATATTTAGAGGGTTGTTTAGAGAAGCTAATGCAGGTGTATAAAGAGATTTCAATCCCCTTAAAATAGGAAAAAAGTGGATTTAGGGAGATTGTTAGGGATGCTCTAACTTGATCCTTCTTCAACAATCTTATCTTAGGGTTAATTATACTAAGAAAATGCTTTACAACTCAAATGATTTACTAAATTTTTTATTAAATCGGTGTGGGTCCATACAAATTTACATATTTGTGGGTCCCACATCCATGTGAGGTTTAGCAAAAAATTTGGTAAATCATTTGAGATCTCTAGCATAACTCATTATACTAAGCTAATATTTGGTTTAATTTTTAAAACATGATTTGAGTCCAAAAAAAAAATAAAAAAAATATTGTCTGGTTAATAAACTTTTAAAGCATAATTCAAAACTCAATTTTCTTTCTTCTCTCTTTTTTTTTATTATTAATAAATCAATCAATTGTTTTTTTTCTCTCCTCTCTCATTTTTCGTTAGCTCACATTATAGACATCAATCAATCAAATTTTCTCACCCATCTATTCAACTAAAAAAAATTACAAATCATCTCAAAACTATTTTCAAAAGTCATAACTAGATAAATTTTCAACTTTCAAAACTCTTTTCAACAACTTGTTTTCAAAATACAACTAAAAACCCAAAACTCATTTAAAAAATTAACCAAATAGAAGATTGAGAAAATTGATGATAAATCCAATCCAAGAAGAGTATAAGCCATTAAGTCAAGTATATTTTTTTTGTTGGTGAGATGTCCACACTTTGTGAAATAAGTTGGTGAAAAGTCCTATAAGACATTTTGTTTTCAATTTTACCTCTTAAATTTTTTTATCTGCCTGACTTTTCATTGACTATCTGTTCAAATTTTGTATCTATCTATTCAATTTTTTCCTCTTTTGGTTTAATTTTCCCCCCAAATTCTTTTTATTTGTTCAATTTTTATTATTTGTTAAAATAACAATTTATTATTTGTTACTCAAATTTGGAAGCCCATTTTTCCTATTTGTTTGAAATTCACAAACTAATTTTTCTATTTGTTGGAATTAGGGGTGTGCACGGTGCGGGTCAGTGCGGTTTGAGAGAAAAATAGAAACCGTATGGCAGGTGGTGGATTGATAAAAGTGTCACTAGAATTTGCCATTTTTCTTATAAAAACCGGCGGTTCAGTTGGCAAATAATGGCGGATTTGCCTTGACGGTTCGGACGGATTGGCGGTTTATAAAAAATATAATTCCAATTACAAAACTTAAATCAAAGAGTAAAAAAATGACGAGAGATACCGTGATGTTAAGCATCTTCTGATGCAGCAAGTGTAGCAACAATATGATAATATCAACGACTATGCCATCAGTTCATTACAAGCATCTGTGGATACTACAATGATCAAATACAATATATAAAATTAATATCATTCAGGGTTTACAATATATTGAAAATGTTTACTGTTGAAAAGTATTTAGATTGAAAAGTGAGCTGATGCAAGTTTGCAACATGGCCAGAAAAAAAAGATTGAAAAGTGAATTGGAATCTAACTTTATTTTGGATTACTGACATCTTGAATTCCCCTCGAGCAGTAATGTAATACTATATTCTAAGGTATAGAACAACAAGCAAACTTAAGTAAAAAAAAAATTTAGAATCTTATAAAACATGATTTAATAGCGGTGCGAGTCGGTGCGATTTGGAAGAAAAATAGAAACCGGCGGATTTATAAAAGTGTCACTAGAATTTGCCATTTTTCTTACTAAAAATCGGCGGTTCAATTGGCAAATAACAACGAATTTGCCTTGCCGGTGCAGTTCGGTGCGGTTTTGACGATTTCGGCGATTTCGACGGTATTATGCAGAATTATCCACCACTAACACTCAAATATTACACAAAAATTCACAAATTATTATTATCTGTCAAATTTTTTAACTGTTGAATTTTTTATCTGTTAAAATTCAACAGGCATATTTTTTTCAGACATAGATATGGAACACTAGCTCAAACTCTATCTGTTCTAATGCCTTATATCAAATTCTCCAAATCCTTTAAATATTAGATGTCAAAAAAAAAAAATGAGTCTAAAAATACTACATTAGCAACTTCCAACCAACAAAAAACTAAACCAAATACAAAAGAATACCAACACAAAACCAAACAACGCGCACATCTCAAATCTACATCTCACCTACATGTTAACCTCACCTCAAGTTGCGCAGAACATGCTTGGTTGTTTGTTCAATTGGAAAACTTCATCAAATACAAGACTTGAACAATTTCAAATTGCCTCAAAATTAACCAACCTAATAACATCCGTAAATACAAAAAAAATCAATGTTTTCGAAGAAAAAAATGAAAACTCTATCAAATACTCAAAAGAGTTGAACAATATTTTTTTTTTTTAAATCATAAATAATAACTAGTAATTTATAAAATAAACAATTTGAATCAAGTAAAGTAATCCCTACAAACCTTTCTATTGAGATGTGAAAAGCAAATCGAAAATTAAAATTATGCTAAACAAATCTGTCGACGAACAACACTTTTCGCAGTCCAATGTTGTAACTGCCTCGAAGCCGAACACTAGGGCTATGTAAATAGATATATCCATCTATATCGATAACTTTTGTAACGTAGAACAAAGGTAGAAGTGGAGGTGGTAGAGAGACAGCGACGACGATGGAGCAGATGACCACAAATCTAGAGGAGAGCGAGTAAGGGTGTGCGTGGTGTGGTTCGGGCGGTTTGAGGGTAAAATTACAAACCGAATGGCAGATTGGCGGATTAACGGATTGGCAAATCGCGTTTTTAGCAGTTTTGGACA